AGGTATCATTTTGGAACCAAGAGTTCTAGTTCTTTGTATATATGTACCCTGGGATTTTTGCTGACACAGCTAGGTTGGTCAAGAAGATTATATTTTTCACACTCCTAACCAGCACAGCAATGCTGGCCAGATTTTTTGCACAAATCAGATCTATCAGAGATTTCTGGTTACTCATTATTTCTTTTTATTATATAATTTATGTCACTTTTATGATAACCACAGTGGCTGCAATTACTAGGAAAGCAGGCAGTGTCGCCACAGGTTAATCACCACAATAAGAATACCATCCTGTGGACGTTTTCTCTGTGGCACTTGTAATCCAAATGCCACAGCCTCAGAAGACAGTGCCCTGTATAGTGAATACAAAGTTAACAAGTCCAAATTTTGTGTTCCCTTTGTTTTATATTTGCATTCCCAATGTTTCATTGCTGTTCCGAGGCATTTAAAGATACTACCTATCACTACAAAGCCTCCCTTTGGGGGGAATTCGTAGCAGCTGGCACAATGGTGATAATTTACTCAATTATGTTAAGAAACCAGATTAAAATTTCAAATAATGGAATATTTAAGGATGTTTCCCATGACAGAACAAATTAATCACTTTGGCTTTGGTTTAGTGCACAGTAGGAACGTCTTGTCTTTTATGAAGGTAGGAAGTTCCTTACCAATAAGAGGTTAATTAAGTAATTAATTATTGTGTGCAGAGTGTGGACCTACTTTATAATAGGAGTCATTTGCATTATACCTTTCTGGTGGGATTACTTTAATGTTACAGAGATTTTAAAACTACAGCTATGTGGAATGTGTCTCAAAGTGGATCCTCCATTTATCTGTAGCCAGTGTCATAAGCAGAGGATGTGTGGCTATGTGCAAAGTTGGTGTAAGGCTGGAGACACACATGCACACGCCTTTACCCAAGGATCTGGCTCCAGGAGTTCTGTGATTAACCACAATCTCATTTTTTAAATAAAGCCTTTTTGACCCTCTTGTGAAGAAAAGCTTGAAGACATGAACCTCATGGAGCTGATACTCTAGAGGCCTTTTTTCTGTTCATGCATTACCCTGATTCTGTTTATTTTGTTAGCATCAGAGAGAAAATGGATGTGCTGGTCGTCACCTGCTGTAAGCACATTGTCTTGTAGCATGCTGATTGCATGCACTCCTCTCTCTGCTGTGTTCTTGTTGTCAGACAAGGTGGAGTGCCCTGATCAAATGCTCTCCAGGAGCAGTTCCACTGGACAGGAGCCCAGTAAGGTATACTAGTGGGACATGTATGAGTTGGCTGCTGGTAGATGTAGCAAAAACAGGTTTGCTTTTCAAGGAGGAGAGATGCATTCATAGTTTCATAGTTGGTAGGGTTGGACGGGACCTGAGCAGATCATCAAGTCCGACCCCCTGCCATGGCAGGAAAGAGTACTGGGGTTAAATGACCCCAGCAAGGT